TAACACTCTCTACCTCAATATAAATCTTTTTAATTCCACAGTGTATTGGAAGATAATATGACAAAACCATTCCACTATAAACACAATGAAATCCTTGTAAAATCCCTTTCATAACTGTTTTGTAGTTCTTTGAACAATAAAAGTATGGGTCTAATGGTTTAATCTTAATTTCTTTAACTTCTTTTAATTCTGAAAAGACAAGAGACCCTCCTTCTATTGCATCAAATCCTTCACATTCTATCTGAACCGTATCATCTGTAGACACTCCTCCTACAACTCCAATGAAATGTTTCTGTGAAATTGTTTTTAATAAACAGTAATATTGTTTCTTTCTTTCCTTACAAAGATTTTCATATTCTTGATAAAGAGTTTTAGGTAATTTGATTATATCATTATAAATCGTTTTATCTTCATTATTATCACATGAAATAATAACAGTATTAACGTGGTCTGTTTGCATAATAACACAATTAACTACTTTTTAAGTTCTTTTTATCACCAGAAAAGAACCACCATAATAAATAAAATGAATTCTAATTATCATGATCTACTTGTTAGAGTAAACCCTTAAATAATTGTTAGACTATTATTTTTAAGGTTTAATAATAAAGACATTAATATGAATGTAAATATTATATAAAAGTAATTTAAAAATTTAACTTATTAATAAGAAACAAATAACTTATTAAAAAAAAAGACAATGAAATAAATAAATTCAATGGTTAGTTTCATTTATAGTGTTATAATATAATTGTAATACTTCTTCTTTAATAAAAGGAGATTGGATTTTATCTTTAGTAAGAAAAACAATACAAAGAACACCAGATGGAACTAATTTAGATTTGTATAAAGGTGTATCATCATTAATAACCCAATTATTTTTACCAAATGGTTTTCTTAAAACAAATGGTATATCAATACACATTTCCATTATAAAATTATATAAATCTTCTGTAGTTTGATTGGGTTTAAAATTTCTAATTAATTCAGTTCCATCAGGTAATTTAAATTTAATCATTGTTTTTGGTAATGCAATTAATTTTTGTAATCGTTCTTCTTCAGTTATTTCATCTCTAAATTTAAATTCTTTTGGTTTTGGTTTGATTAATTGGAGAGCTTCTTCTTTAGTTAATTCATAAAAATCATCAGATTCAATTAATGAAGTTTTATATCCAACAAATCGTTTAATTTTAAGGTCAACCTCCACAATATTAAATGACAACTTGAAATTCATAAAAGAATGAATTAATGAGATATGAAGTTTTTAAGTAGAAAAAAAGAATGAAATAAAATAAATAAACACAATTATAAAAATGTCATATCCAATGATGGTGGAACTGGATATGATGGTACTGGTGATGTTATTAATTGTGGTGTTGTTTGTTTATTTATAGAAGCTCTTGTTACAATAGAGTCAATATTATGAAGTACATCAAGTGAATGAATAATTTTATCATGTAATAATTCATTTTCTTTATTATTTTCAATATTTTCAGTTTGAATAATAATTTTATAATTGTCAGGTAATTTAAATGAATTTTTATTTTTTCCTTCAGTAGCGTCTTGCATTTGTTTTAAACTATACTCATATTTTACATTATTTTCCCAAAAGAATGTATTAATCATTAATCTTCCAATAATATTAATCTTTCCTTTTGACATAAAACAAACCATAATAATAATATCTCCTGACATATAATTCTTAGGAAAAATTGTTGTATATTTTCCATCTATTTCATTTAACTTTTGTTGTATATATAACATCGATGGATGTTCATTATGATGACTTAATGGATTAAAATAAAATATTGGAGCTGCATCTTCATATCCAGAAACTCCTATTTGAAATCCAAATGTTTGTATTGAAACAATTCTCATCATATATTGTGGAATAGGTATATATTCACTAAATGTACGATGATAACAATCAAAATAATATACATACCTTACTTGACAAGGGGCTGTTACTCCTCTTTTCTTTTTTGACCTTCTTTCTCCAAAAAGATATAATGATTCTTCTGTATTTTTTGCTTTTCCTAATGCCAATAAAACTGAACATACTACAATTCCTGTTCTTCCTCTTCCAGCACGACAATGGATAACTGCAGTATTCATTTGATCTTCATTTAAATAATTAACAATTTCATTAACTATCTACGGTAATAAGTTATTGTCTTCTTTATTATATAAAGAATAAAGAAAATAACAAACTTGAAGTAAGAAATTAAATTTTGGTGGATGATGATCAAGAAATCCACAATGTACTACGTTGTTATCAAATGGTGTTGCATCATATTGTTCTTCTGTTAAATTCCAAATTTTATAGTGATTTGGATGGTTTTTCTTTAAAAATTCTGCAACATCATTTCGAGAATTTCTCCATTGTTGGGAAAATCCAGTAGCAGGAAATGCCATAGCAATAAGGTTTGGTAAAACATATGATAAGTCAAATAATTTTCCAGCATAAGATAAACATGTTTTGTCTTGTGCTGCAATACTTCTCAACATTTTCTTTAATAATTTTCTGTTTTTGAGTTCTTCATGACATAAATCTTTAATTTTGTTGAAGGGTGTTTATTGTAGCTCTTTATATTATACTTCCACTTCTTTCTCTTTTTTAAAATCCCGAATTTTCTTTCTTATTGAACTTTTCTGATAACAAAATTCATTTAATTTTCGTTTTTTTAAACCCTATTTTTTCTTCTTTTTTTTTTCATTAACTCTTTTTTCGGGTGATTTGTTTTGTTGATTGATCAAATTATTTTTCAGTTAATGGAGGAAGAAGTGAGAGGATATGAAAAATGGTTAAAGGATTATCGAGAAGAAAGACATTGTAATGAATGGTCATTACAACAAGAAGCTGATGAATATGTTAGAAATTTCTTACTTTCAAAAAAAGAAATTAAAAAAGATATTGATGACTTCCAAGAAGTTGGAGAAGATGGATTTGTAGTTATACCAGAACAATATCGTAGAAATGAATTTACATATTCACAACTTGATCCTGAGATTGCAGAAATTATTGCATCAAAGCGTAAACACAAAAAGAATGAAGGTATGACTTTTGAATACCAACCAATAAAAAGAGTTGAAAATACAAAGAAAGCAAAGAAATTAAGATACAACATTAAAAAGAACAAAATAGAAAAAGTTAAAAAAAGTAGTAAACAAGATGAAGAATAATTATTTGATTGGATATTAAACAAAAATTAATACTTTATTTTTTGAATTATATTGAAGTAATACAATTAGTCAGTTGCTGAATACCAATTAACAGCTGAATCAATACATTTTTTCCATTCATCATTTGTTTGTTCGTCAGGAGCAGCAAAGACATGACCATTAACGTAGAAACATAATTTTTTACCATAACGTGCTTCAGGAGCTATTTCAAAATGTCCTGGTTTAAACATAAATATTTCAATTAGTGTAGTATCATCTCTAGACTTAAATACAAAAATAAATGTATATTTAATAACTACCCAAACTAATTTCCAACTTTTCTCACTAATTCCTTTGTCTTTTCTAACATCTTTTTTCTCTTCTTTTTGACTTAAATACAATAAATTACCTTCTTTTTCTCCATTTATTTTTTGTGGTGTTAATTTACCAAATAATGAAGTTGCTAATAATTCAACTCCTGTTTTTGTTTCAATTAAGAAATTCTCTATTTTTTCTATTTCTTGTACCAATATTTTATTTCTTTCATTAAATGATTCAATTTGTTGTTGCATTGCTTCAATACGTTTGCTTTGATTGATAATAGTTGAATCAACTTCATCGAAACTTATTTGGTTTGGTTTTAAATTTACTTCCATTTCTGATGTTTGAAGGCATTTAGTTATTTCTTCAACTAAACAAGTAAGAGTCTCTTTTTCATCATCTTCAAAATTATCACTCATACAAATATCTTGCATGATTTTCTCTAACACAACATATGTTAATGACAAATCGCTTAATATTTCAAAATCTTCTATCTCTTGATCAGTAACAAGTTTCATAAAAGGACATACATTAACAAATAAAGTTCCTGGTTTAAGTGAGTCAGCATTGAAATTATAATTTTCATAAGGTATATGATCTTCTAAAAATTCAGTAAATAGAGATAATATTTCACTATGTAATTCTGTAACGTCTTCAAGCCATGGGTGATTACGTAAAGATTCAATAGATAATTTTCCACTTGGAACTTCTTCTAAACAACACATTAAAAATACACGACATTCATATGATACATCATTTGGAAGTGTTGTTGTATCAAATATTTTTTCAGGTGTGATTGTATAGTCATCATAAATCATTCTACCTGTTAATAACTCAATTAAAACAATTCCTAAATTCCAAACATCTTTTGTTATTGATGATAAATCTTCTAGAGAAGATTTTTGAGAAATAGAATTTGGGATTACTTGTTCTGATATAGTTGGTATTTTATGAATTGAAGGTGGAAGAAGACCAATACAATTAATTATTCCTTTTGAACTAATAAACGAATTTATGAGAGAAAGTTTATTATAAACAATGTGAGCATTTGTTAAAGCTTCGATTAATAAGATGTATTGCATTGCAATGATTTTTACAATATGCTCAGGGAAATTTACAAACATATTTACATAATCTGAAAGTTGTCCTAATGAAAAATAATCGATAATAATAAATGTGAAACCACCTTCAACTTGAACAACATCTTTGTATTGAATAATTTTTTTAATATCTTTATCAAATAGATACTCAACTGTTTTCTATGTTATAAATACTTAGAATATAAATGATTATATCTAATCAAATAATGATTAACAAACCCGAATTGAATCTTCACTTGAACAATACTCAGGATTAATTACATGAATTAATGAGACTATTTCTTTTGTTGTAGTGTTAAATCCACTATACATTAATCCTAATTCTGTTTCTCCTAATAATAATCCACGTGTGTATTTTCCAATGAACGGAGGAAGCATGTCATCGAGGATTCTTCTTGAAGGTTTAGGAGCTCTCGATAAATGAAGGGAAGTCATTTTATTCTTTTCGAGTTTACTTTTTCTAATGAAAAACAAAAAAGAAAGAAAAAGTATTGTTATTTTTAGTGATTTTAAAAAAAAAATAAAAATTTTTAGATGTTATCTTTTTTAAAAAGAAAAATGTCCTATGAACGAATTATCGTTACTTCAATCTCATTATCAATTGTTGTTATCTTAACAATTTTTATGTATTCAATTGGACATCATGAGATATTTGGAATGGTTGTCGTTGGAATGTTATGGGGATGTACAAATGTCTTTATGAAACAAGGAATTCATTTTCATCATAACGAAAATGACACATTCTTTCAAAATATAATAACTGATATTAAAACTTTAGTTACAAGCTATTCATTTGTTGTTCCATTCTTAATAAATCAAACAGGGTCTATTTTATTTACAATATTACTTGGTAATAATGATTTTTCATTAGTTGTTCCTATTTCAAATGCATTAACATTTATATTTACTTTTATTACAGCGTACCTTTTAGGAGAAAATCAATTATCATTAAGTTTGTTTCTTAAAAAAATTAACAACACAATTTTATTATTAACAAAATAGAATGTATTACAGGTGTATTATTAGTGTTATTAGGGGTGACTATTTGTCAAACAGCGAAATAATATCATTACAAATTTTTTTCTTATATTTTTTTTTTATTTTTTTTATATTAAACAAGTGGATATTTTAGAAGATGGTTTGATTCAAAAGGAGTAGATAAAACTACTACAATGAAAGCATGGAAATCCATCAATATTAAAAAGAATGCATTTCTCAAATTAACTAAAATGCAAGATGGAGCAATATTTTGTGGGTATAGAAAATCAAAAATAATGAAAAATGAATGAATAAAATACTAAACACTTTGTAAAGACAAGATAGCTACAGTAGAACACATTCTACTATCTTGTATTTATCATAAAAAATCACAAATGGAAAAACATGACAATATTGGCATTATAATATTGATTAATAAGAAAATATACAGGAAATAATCAATATAAAAACCCCCATATGAAACAATGTTCAAATATAAAGACATCACAAGATATTGAACAAACAAATAATGCATAAAAGTGAATGACAATATCACAAAATACCAGATATATATGTATTAGATAAAAAAGAACAAAACTTGTCTATTATTTGATATGACTAATATTGTGGCTGATCACAATATTAATTGAGCGTATTGGAAGAAAAGAAATAAGTATAAAGAATTAAAGAATAGGCTAATGAAAATAGAGAAAATAAAAGATGTCAAAATAATTCCAGTAATAATTTCAATAAATGGATTAGTGAATAAAGAAAGTATTAAATTAATTAAAGAATTAAAAATTGACATTGACATCGAGAAAGAAGTAAAAAACCATTGTAATAAAAAACATGATGGATGTCATGGAATACTACTTCTATCACAACCAAACATACTCCGTAGAGCTACAAGAAGAAGACGAAGGGACGGGATTAGTCTCCCCTGAGTCAGGAAGAATAGAAGTATTTCTATTAATACTTAATTAATTGATTTTTATTTAGTATAAATTATTTTTTCATATAAAAAAACCTAAACTAAACTAATAATTATTAGTGATATGAGTAGCATTGATATATTTACTTATGTCAATCAATTATTAACTTCTGTTGTATTTTCTATAGACAATAAAATTGGAGCGACTGTATTTACTGCTTTACATTCATCTAGTAATAACCCATCAATCAAAATGTATTTACAATATTTAGAAGAGTATTATGGAATAAATGAAGATGAAATTAAATTAATTAATGAATGTCTTGAAAGAAATGATTATAAACAATTAAATAGTTTAAATCCATTATTATTTCATGAAGTTATAAAACAATCATCATCTGAAACAAAAGAAGAAATTCTTTTAAATAGTCAACAATTTAAAAAAGAAGATATAAGTTGTATTCAAGCGATTTGCCAAAATGAAGTATTAAATAAAAAAGTCATTGAACAACAAAAGAAAGTTAATAATATTCAACAGGCTTTAATGATTCTAAAAGATGAAGTTGTAAAAACACAACTTAAAATTAGTTATAATCCTAATGAACAAATTCAAACACAAACATTACCTGAACCTAATATTCCTGAAAGTCGTAATATCTTTATATTTCAAATTTTTAATTCAGGTTATGATCAAAAAAGGATTGAAGAATTAAAGAATCAAAGAATTCAACAATTAAAAAATTCATTAAAAGATTTAAATGTTGTTGACTTTTGGGAAGGATACGGCTCTGGACTACTTCCTAAAATAATATTAGTGGTCATCGAAGAATTAACGACTGAAACAAAAAAAGATATCGAATCAGTTCATTCTCTTTATCCTTCATCAAAAATTTATCTTATATATCTGTATAAAAAAATTAAAATACAACACATTGAATCTAATGAAATTTCATTACACTTTGACATCCAAAAGAAAGAAGGGTTATTTGAGCTTGATAATTCTTTTCTTCAAATGGCTATTCACTGTTTTAATTAATTTCTCTTAAATATAATATTTTTTCCTTTTTTTTTTTTAAGATTGCAATCTAAAAACTTAATGAAAACTTAAAAAGAATCGTATAAAAAATGAAAAGAAAAGAACTAGAACTTAAAAAGAAAGAAAAATATAATGAGCAAGAAGGTTCAACAAGTTGACCCTGTTACTGAATCAAATCAAAAACAAAATAATATGGCAATGTACACGGATCTTATGAGAAGAGCCATGGACCATAAAAATTATAATGAAGCACTTGAAAATGCATATAAAATTTGTGAACAAATGAACACCACAAATTTGATTCCAGCACAATATTATAATTTATATCTTGTATTACAACAATGTTTAAGTGTATTAGACATGTATTTAAGAACTGACTATATTGCCGATGGAAATGATATACTTGACTTATATGAAGAAGTACAAACTTATCAATGTGCTGTTGCTCGTTTATATTTGATGTGTATTGTTGGTTCAGCTGCAGTTAAATCAAAGAAAGTAGGTATAGTTGTATTTTTAAAAGATATTATTGAAATGTCACGTGCTGTACAACACCCAACAAAAGGAATTTTCTTAAGAAATTATATTCTTGATTGTGTTAAATCAATTCTTCCTAGTTCTACCACTGAAGAACCATCTGAAGGTAATTTGATCAATTCAATTGAATTCCTTTTGAACAATTTCTCAGAAATGTGTCGTTTATTAGTACGTTTAACACAAGGGCCACAAGTTACAGAACAAAAAGTAGAAGAACAACAACAATTATGTCAAGTTGTCGGTAAAAATTTAATGATTATGTCTAATCTTGATGGTGTTTCTTTAGAATTATATTCTACTAATATTTTACCAAGATTTCTTGAACAAGTTCTCCTTTCTAGAGATAAAGTCACTCAAGACTATCTCTATGATGCTCTTATTCAAGCCTTTCCAGCTGATTATCAACTTGCAACTCTTCACCTTCTTCTTCATTCATTAGGAGGTGTTGTAGCAAATGTTGGAATTAGAAGAATATTATGTTCATTAATGGAACGAATTTCTAGTTATGTTTCAGCTAATCCACAAATAGAACGTAATATGGATATGTTCAAGATCTTTTCTACTCACATTTCACAAATTGTTAAAACACAAACACTTACTTGTGAAGAATATGTTAGTGTCTATGCTACTCTTGCTCATTTAGTAATTGTCTGGCATAATGAAGATGATGCTTATACACAATTAAATGCTATTAATGATAATGTTTATGACTATCTTACTACTCAACAAAATATTAGCATTGAAGCTGCTAATGCTTTAATGTCTCTTCTTCAATTCCCATTCACTAAATACAATGTTCTTAAGGTTATTCAACTCAGAGTTTATCCTGAATTAATTAATTTACTTCCATACACTTTAAGACATGAAACTCATAGATTTGTTGCTAAAAAAGTTACTGAAAAGAATCATATCTCTTCTACTGGAGATATTATGGTTTTAACTATTCGTTGTATTGAAACCCTTTATCAAGACACTAAAGATATGACACCATTAAATGATGAAGAACTTGCTATTGATTGTAATTTATTCAAAACAGTTGCATTATCATCTACTGTTAGTACAGAGTCTTTCTTTGATATTGTAAGAGAAGTTAAAAATGCAGTAAAGAATGCAGGAAACCGTAGATCTTTGATGATACTTCCCACAGTCATTTCTATGTATTTAAGAGCTATTCCAGTTATTACAGATAAAAAAGATGATATGTTTAAATGTGTCTTTGATATATTGAAGACTCTTAAAACTTTATCTCATTTTGTTGCTTTAAAGTGTTGTGTTGAAGTTGGTAGTGCTGCTGCTCAAGCAAAATATTCCCAAGCTTCTTATTTCTTTGAAACAGCATTAACTATGTATGAAGATGAAACTGATATTCCAAAAGAAGAGTCATTAAAACTTATTCTGTCTACTTTAGCATCATGTTCATTAGAAGATGATATGAATGAAGTTTACATTATTGGATGTGGTAAATTTATTCAACTTCTACAAGACTCTTTCCAAAAAGGAAAATTATATTGTCAAGTATCATCTGCTTTATTCAATGAACAAAGAAAAGTTGCTAAACAATCAGTTAGTTATTTACAAAAAGCAGTTAAAGAAGCTGGTTTATGTCAAGTTGCAGAGCAAAACATAGAATTATTGATTGATATCTTAAATATCTATATCATTCATTTTATTCGAGATAATTCAGAAATAACTGCAGAATATATTAATAACTTTGCTAATGTTATTAAAGAAAGTATTTCCCAAACTGAGATTCCAAAATTACAATCCTATTATAAGGAAACAGCAGACTATATTGCAACAAGAACTGAAGATAAAGTCAAACAACTTCAACTCTAATTTATCGAATTTTTCTCTGATAAAGAATAATGGATAGGTTTTCTCTTTTGAAAAATTATATTATAATTTATAGTGAAAATTTCTAATTAAAACTATACTTTTTATTTTCAATTCATCATGAAGCCATTTGGATGTATTATTGATATTGATGGAGTTCTTATTAGGGATGGATGTAAAATCGAAGGAGCAGACAAAGGTATTGAATTACTTGAAGAACATAAAGTACCATATTGCTTATTAACTAATGGTCATGGAAATGCTCAATATAAAGCAGATATCGTTAATAAGGCATTAGGAACTCATGTCACTCCAGAACAAATTATTTTAGCAGTTTCACCTCTTAAAGACTTAGTAAATGATTTTGAAGATAAGCCAGTATTAATAATTGGCAAAGAAATGGAGATGGACACCGTTCGAAGTTTTGGGTTTAAACATCCAATTTATTATGAAGATTATGCTACACTTAACCCTGCACAATTTCCTGACAGATACCAAGCTGTTCACTCTTATTCTATTCATTCTGAATTAGATGAACATACACAAATTGCAGCTATATTTATTGCCCATACTCCATTGAATTGGGGAGAAGCAATTCAAATTATTTGTGATGTTTTAAGATCAAAAGATGGAAGTCTTGCCTCTATCATAGACAATAACATTATTTTAACACAGAGAATACCAATTTATTTATGTAATCCTGACTTTGACTATGCAGGAAAATTCTCTTTACCCCGTATGACAGTTGGTGCTTTTGGAACATGTTTAAATACAATTTGGAAGTCAATCACAAACCAAGACCTTAATATCCAGTTTATGGGAAAACCATATCGTCTCTCATACAAAATGGCTGAAAATGTCATTCTTAAATATAACAATAACATAACTCTTTTTTATGGAATTGGGGATAATCCAATTTCTGATATTCGAGGGGCAAACAGTATGAAAACTGAATCACCGTATAATTATACTTCTGTCCTTGTTGAGTCAGGTTGTGGTAATGAAGAGTCTCTCAAAAAAGATCCACCAGACATTGTGTCGTCAAATTTCCTTATGGCTGTGAAAAAAATATTAAAAATAAATGGAATTTCTATTAATTAATTTTTAGATTTATGAGTTATTGTTTATTCTAATGACACAAAGCTAAAACAAAAAATTATTTAATTTATTTCTTACTATCATACTTATTTCTTTCTATTTGTTGTTGTTTTCTCGTACAATAAAATACCAACTTCTCCATATTGTTGATGGTGTATATTCATTAGTATTATTTTTTTCTTAGTTTCTGCAACTTCTTGTGGTGTGAGTATTTTAATTTCTTTTTCAAAGATTATTTTCAATTATTCTTTATTTTGTACTTCTATCAATTTATTTATTTCTGTTTTGTTATGTATTTTTTATTATGATATTGTTTGTATATTGTTTGTGTTTTATTTTGATATTTATTTCTATTGTGATAATACAGTTTGTTTCTATTAAAATTGTTGTTAAAATAATTATGACAATGAAAATGAATGAAATAAACAATATTATCAATGTAGTGTTAGTTATGATAATGATTAATAATATAATGATTCATATAATTCTATCAATACAGATAATACATATTTCACTCATTCTTCTATCATTTATATTTGTTTATTGATATGAATTTCTTTTGCTCTGTTTATTTGTTTTAATATTATTTGTTATGTTTCTTGTTATTCATCATTTTCTTTATAATTAAATAAAAAGAGAAAGAATCAGAATGATTCAAATAAGATAAAAAATAAAATTAATGTTGAATTGATAGAATAATGAAATAAAAGAAAATGATAAGAAAGAAATACATAATTATACAAGTAGTACTAATGTATATGTTTATTCATTATTAGAATGTTATAAAAATGAATAATAAATAACACCTTTAACAAATAATAGAAAGACAGTGTATTGAATTAATCATGTTGTATTATTATCATTTCATTATATAATATTTAATTTATTCTTTTATTAGTCTTTTTGTGTTATTTCATTTTATTATTTGATATTTATCATTGAAAACAATATTATTTAAATTAATAATACAATTATTTTCTATTGAATATTACTATTCAATTAGTTGGTTATTCTCTTCATTTTTATTTTGACTTTCTTGTTTATTTCAATTTATATCTACTCATGTCATTTCTTTCATATATATCAATTATATTCATTATTTTTTATTCTTGTTTCAATTCTTGTTTCTTGTTGTTAATCAATTATTTATTATTACATCATTTGACAATAAAATGAGTATTATCCATTTTCTATTATTTTAAATAAAAATAAAAATTTTTAGAATAACCTTCTAATTTTAATAAAAATAAAAATGCACGAAGTGGGGTTTGATCCCACGCATCTTTCGATATCCGCGCCTAAAGCGGACGCCTTAGACCACTCGGCCATTCGTGCTTCTCTTTATATTACTTTTTATTCTCTTATTAGTCTTTTTCTTCTTTTAACTCTTTCTTATCCGTTGTTGTGTCTTATTCCTTTGAATATTATGTTTTGATATTTTCTTTATCAACATATTATTTTATAGTATATTCACTGTTTAATTCAATTTCTTTATTTCATAGTTTTTGTTCTTATTGTGATTTAAGTATGTTAATGTGTTTTATTTGTGTTTTGATAAATTGAACTTTGTTAAATAAAAAGATGAAATGAATAAGACATATCATTATTAAATTTAATATTTCATAGTTAATACAACAATTTCTATTTTACATTTATTCTATCAATCATTTCTGTTTCTTTATTCTATGTATTTTATATGTCGTCTTTTTGTTTCATTCTTCTTCATATTCTTTTATTCTCTATTTATTTCATCATTCATTATTTCAATTTTATCATAGTTTTAATGTCATCATTTTCTATTTTATTATCTTTATTTTTATTTTCAAACATAACTATCTATTAGTCATCCAATTTTATCATTTCATATATTTCTATCATTTGATTGTTTCTAATATTATTTTATATTCAATAACATTTATTATTTGTTATTTGACAACTCAATTATTCTTATTTATTGTTATTTTCTTCTATTTCATTGTTTTTCATGAAAATAGAATTGAATAATAATAATAATAACATTAGATATTGTTTATTAAACATGTTTTAGTTGAACAATGTCATATAATTGTTTTAGTATTATTTAAATATTTTATTCTTATTCAATTTATTAACTTTATCCACTTTTATTTCTATTTTACTTGAAATAATATGTCTTTCAAATATTCATATTTGATTTGAGGCTATTCATTATTTCTCTTTCATTCATATTTATCACTTTCTTTATATTCATTATTATCATTAAAGAGTAACTCATTATGGTTGTTTACCATTTGATGGTATTTCTTTTTATTTTATCTTGAAATGTATAATTTTCATTTCTAACACAATACAATAATAAATAAAATAGTATCTCACTCATACTTCATTTTGAAAATGATTGTTCACTGTCATTAAATGATTATTATAAGTTTATAATGAATAATATGTTAAATATAAAAGGAATGTTAATTGAATTATTTAAGTTCGGGTGGTGCATCTGGTCGATGGATTGATGCATCTTCTGCTGCAGTCAATAGTCCTACAGCCCCACTTGATGTAGGACCAGCAATATACCCAGCAATAGATGGTGCACCAGAAAGATAGAGAACATGTTTTTGTCTTGAATATTTAGCCCATGAAGGATGTTGGTCTAAACAATATTCTAATTGTTCTGAATGTGTAGAATCTTGTAAAGCATTCTGTAAAGCATCAACTATTAATGCTTTCACTTCTGGGGAAGATGATCCAAGTTGTTGGTCAAGATTACCATCAAGTATTTTGAATATTGATTCTTGAACATCTTCTCCACATAATTTTGGAACAAAACATAATACCCCCTTACAATCAACATCAGATGTCATTGATCTAAAGATATCTGAAATTAGTTGTGCTTGATCCACCATTTGTGTAATGGTAATAGCAAGAATAGGTACTGCATTTTCATCAATCAATTTTTCTTTACATTCTTTATTACTTACAATAACTTGAAGAATAATAAAGAGAGATTCACTTGGTGCTTTCTTTAATAATTCTACGAGTTTAGATAAATGACCCGATGGTGCTAAATAATCTAAACATTGTGGTTGATTAGTATAAAACACTGCTGCTGTTTTAGCAAGAACATCCATTAAAGTAACATCTCGTTGTCTAACAGCTTCTTGATACTTATTAAATAATCCATCACTAAATCCATTTGGATTATTAAGTGGACATGTAGGATTTTTATTAAGAATTCTAATAAATACACCTCCAATACATAATTCATTTTCAAGTTCTTTATATTTAAATGCAAAAGTATCTGGAACTTGCCATTTAACTGTTGGGTCAGAAAGTTGTTTTGTGTAAAATGCCTTAGTCATTTTACCAATGAAAATTCCAACATCATTTTTCATTTCTGAATTCCAAATTAATTCTGGTGTTTCTGTAGTTGAATCTAGTAAAATAACTGCTCCTCTTGCATCCATTTTCATCGTATTAATAATAGAAATTGGGAAGAATTTACTTAGTGTTAATGAAACTTTAGGTCCAATACCTGGCGTAGTAGACATTTTACCAATTAGTTGAGATACAAGAACTCTTCTTTCAAGTTCACTGTCATTAACAAAATGATTTAAAAGATAAAGTAATCCTCCTCTAATTATTCCTTGTTGTAATCCTGTTGTTACTGAGAATAGTGATTGTGTTAATGGTACTACTTCTTCAAGATATTCTGTTGGATGAAGTAATACAAGGAATTTAGATAATACTTTAGATTTAGCAACAATTTCAACACATTGTCCATTACTTACAATTCGTTTAACACAATGTAATATTGATTTTTGAACAATTGGGTCATCTGGTTCTTCTTTTAATAAATTAAATAATAATTCTAATAATTCATTATCATCACAAACGGCATTAATAACATCATATTGATCAAACACATTACAAATAGCAATAGCTCTAAGTTGTTCCCATTCTTTATTCATTTCATTTATTTTTAAACATGCTCTTAGGAAAATAATAGGATCTGGTAGTGGTTCACATGTTCTTATTTGTTCATTAAAGAGTCTAATATAAACTCCATTAATAATTAATTCTTTCTTTAATGATGGGAATCTAAATAGTTCATATTCTTTTGGTGTCCATTCCATTGTTCCATTTAAGTGTGCATCAATATAATCAATTAATTCTTGTCTTGTTTTGTTTGTCCATAATAAGTATGGTGTTTGTGTTGTAGATGTAATTAAACTGAGTGTTTCCCCAACACTACCATGTCTAATTCGTAGTCCAAGTTGTGGTGTAAATAATGCAAACACTGCTTTTGTTTCTTCTGTATTTTCTTGGATTTTAACTAACTCTTTCATTGCTAATAATGACATTCCAGCAATAGCATTTTTCATTTGATGAATACTTTCTTGTTCTGCTTCTTCAAGTGTTGGGTCATATGATAATATTCTGTGAATTAAATATCCAAGATAATTTCTATTATACATATCATTTCTTATTTCTTCATCCTTTGAGAAACATGTTATACATTCTAGTGATGCTTCTACAACTCCAAGTAAGTCACTTCCAAGACACATCTTAATATTAGACAATATTGTATTACTTTTTTTAATTTCTGCTAATGACTCTGTAAATTTAGATGCAACTGCCATAGCTCTAAGAATATATCTAATACTTGCTACCTTATTTTCTTTAATTTGTCCACATAATCCATCTAATATTTTTAATAATGTTCCAATTCCTCCCATTCTAGCTAATTCTTGAACATTTAATGTAGAGTATAATCATTAGAAATCAAATATGAATTAACATTTTCACCTATTTCAGTATTATTATCATAGAGTTTATGACCAAATAATGCAAAAGAATGAATTTTATTATTGAATTGAACTATAGAATATTCAGGCATGAATTGAGATAAAGATAATTCTGAATTAATAACATAATCATTAGGAGTAGTTTTTTGAGAA